ATCAAGGCTCCCCATGGGAAAAAGCGGGCCAGAATCGTGGTGTGTGGGAACAGGCTCGAAGCTCTGGACGGTAGTGGTGCCGCCCAGCAGAGCAAGGAGGAGCCACACAACTTGTACGCTGGGGGCGCGGACGGCGCTACCATCAGATGCCTTCTTCGGAAAGCCTTGGCAATGAGCTGGGAAATTGCAACCTGCGATGTCAAGACGGCCTTCCTTTTGGCGCCCCGGGAGGACTCCGATCGGAAGTTGGTTGTGGTGAAACCTCCAAAGATTTTGGGGGAAGCAGGCATTGTTGGTCCTCGAGAGCAGAGGAGGGTGCAGCATGCGTTGTACGGGCTTCGGTCTTCGCCAGCCGATTGGGCTTCGTTCAGAAATAAGATGTTGAGGACCTTTCTATGGCAGCAGGACGGAGTGACCTTGGAGCTTCGAGAGACCCCTGAGCCGAATTTGTGGAAGATCATCGAGAAGAAGCCGTTGGACCAGGAGGAACCGCCGCCAAAGGGTTTCATTCTGGAGTCTATGTGGATGACTTCATTGTCGTTGGGGCCAAGGACACGGTAAAGGGTGCTTTGGGCCGGATTGAGATGGAGTGGAAGTGCAGCCCAATGGGTCAGCAGTGATGGATCGACCAAGTTCAGTGGGTTCGAGCTGAGGTGGAGTTCCGCAGAAGAGGATAGTGGGCTCTACGTGGGACAGCAGGCCTACATCCAGAGCTGCTCAGTAGACATCCGGAGGTTACCCCGACCACTGTACCATTTCCTGGAGTGCCAAAGGAGGAGCCGGAGACCGAGATCACGTTGGATCAGGTGAGGAAGGCGCAGGGCTTAGTGGGCGAGGTGTCTGTGCGAAGCAGACCGGATTTGGCTTATGGAGTGGGCTGGATGGGACGACAGGTGACCCGAACCCCTAGAAGGGACAGAGAGTAAGAGAGTATGGATGCCAGATGCTTGGGTATGTGAAGACCACCTTGGCATGGTCACTGCACTATGGACGTGCGCGATCATCGATAATGGGGGAACATTACTACCCACTATGAGGGTGGATGCCCTTTTGGACGCATCGTTCGGACCTCCTTCTGGACGAGGGTGTCAGGGCGTGATTGGCACTTATGGAGGAGAACCAGTGCAGTGGGAGTCGCGACGACAGGCGTTCTGTACGTTGTCAAGCGCAGAGGCACGGAGGCCATGACGATGGGAGACTCTTTGGCGGCACCGACGAATGTGTTGGAGGGCGTTTGGGGCCGGATGGTCCATGGAGGACTCGTCATCTTCGCCTCAGGGCTCATGCATTGCGAGAAAGGGTCAAATGGGGTGCATGGAAGGTGATCCACATCCCGGGCCAGCAGTTCGTCTACTACCAGGGGCCAAGGGGATCGCGCCTCTTCGTCGATGAGTAGCTCGTTGACATCCGGACCACCGCCAATGCCGGGCTTTGCGGAGCATGGCCCGCCTTCGGATGAGCCACTCAGGGAAGTCCGATATGTTCACAGAGGACCGGAATCAGATTCACTTGGCTCAGTATCGGATCGAAGCACTAGGATGACGGAGGGTGTGACCAGCAGCTTGGGAGGCTATGAGCAGCGGCTTCGTGGCCACCTGCATCGAGGCGAGATGGTGGTTCTGTGGCGTCCGGGGAATCGCGAGAGCTATCCTTTGTGAACGATGGTTTGGATTATGACCCAACCACCTATTGGGCACGGGGACCAGGTGCGCATGACGGCACCACTCTAAGCCACTCTAAGCGATGATGAACGGGATGATTGGTTGGCCTTCACGCAGGACCTGGCGGGCGATGCAGAGCGACCTGACTGGAGGAGATCATTGGCAAGTGAGGCGAGCGATGCAGAGCGACCTGACTGGAGGAGATCATTGGCAAGTGAAGATCCACCTTCATTGGAACAGATGACGGCTTGGGGTTGGAGAGTTGCGCAAAACAACTTAGCTCCGCCGCGCAGAGAAAGCTATCGAGGTCCTGATCATGACCTACCACCTGCAGGGGATCCGGAGCAGGAAACGCCGACCTGGTTGGGCATCGCCACGCAGATGCCAGTGAGGCCCCGGTCAAATGACCCTTGGGAGCCGCAACGCGGTTTTTCCGGAACCTCAAGCGTTCGAGAGGACTCCACGGAGTCTGAGGGAGGCTTTGAGATGGTTGAAGATGACCAAGGGTAGAAGAAAAAACCTACCCAAGGCATCAAGCAGATGGCTTTACAAAAGCCAGGGGGAGTGTGATTTGCACTTCGCCAGTTTCGTTCGAAGGGTGCACAAATCAAGAAGTGTACCAAACTGACTCGTTTGGCTCAAGCGAAAAGGGCCCAACGTACCGGGCACACCCCTTCATAACCACAGAATTGTCAGAGCAGGATACATTTATACAACATTTCATGTCTGAAAGTCACTCAGGTGATGTAGGACACGCTGTAGGACACTCCGAAGCAATGTCACTTGTTTCTTTCGCAGCTATGCCTCGACAGCCTGTGTTGTCAACAGCTTCGATTGAGGCTTGCGGTAAGCTTCCAGGCTCCAGGGCCAGAAAGGCACATGGGCTAAGACGGGACGCAACTCTTGAAGAATCTGAAGCTTCATTGGTTGGTTGGTTGGTTGCATTCCTAAGAAACAAGTTTGTTGTGCTTTGGTTGGTTGCCATGCTTGTCAACCAGAGACTAGTCACTACTATAATTCCCCTTTTTGCGCAACAAGCAGCTTTGATGCATTCCTTGGCCAGATGTCCTGAGAAAAGGTAGGGCTTGAACTCACAATAGCACACTTAAGCTGTACTTAACATTCTTGGTCAAGGGGCTCAAGGAGAATCTCGCCAGGTTTTTGAACGGGCTTTGTTTCAAGCGGCTTCACTCGGGTTCATCCAACTTCCCCAGGGTTCACCTCATGAGGTCTCGTGCTTTTGGCCAAATCTTGGAAGAACATCATGTGCGCAGCAGTGAACCTCTCAGAGTTCAATGTTCATGTGCCAAGCTGCTATGCTTCTCCTGAGCTCTTCAGTATCTCTTTGAATGATTTTTTGCCTTTTCCATGTTTCTTGGAACGGAGAACTCGACAAAGAACCCGTCATTGATTCATTTTGGCTCAGCTGCCCAGCGGGGCACATTTGGACAAGTCTTTTTTGGCTTCCGTTCAGTGACGGGACATCCGCTTGTTGCGATTTGCAATGATTCTTACGGAATGTCCTTTTACTTTTGACTGAGATAGTGCAACCTTCCTCAGCTGAGAGTTACAACAACAACAACCACAACAACCACAACAACAGCAACAACATGGCTTGTCATTGTCATACCACAATTGACGACAATCAGGCTCAAAACTCTGGGTAGAAAGCTTGGTGCAAGCACTCAGCTGAATGATTCTGGGTGAAGAATTCCAGAACCACAAAAACAGAGCCGAGAGCCAATCGATTCACCTAAGCCAAATGCCTTCCGCCTGGATGGTCTGAGAGGTAAATTGAATGCTCATGGCGCAGGAGCTGGGTCCTTGATGGTCCTTGGGTGTGTCAAACGTCAGAAACATCGAATGACTCACATGACCGAGATAGGTGAAGCGAGGAAACTGCTTGGGAGACCGACAAGGCTTTGTCATGAGGCCGTAGGTGGCATACCATCCTTGGAAAGATGCAGACGATTTGTGAGCAGTGTGAAGGTCAGTTTGTTTTGCATGGATTTAACATAGTCTTCAAAACAGGAGAGCGATGCGAAGAGACGCAAGCCACTTGGCTCGCTTGGCTCACAAAAGCCGAACGGTATCACACTCAAATCGGGAAGGAAAGCAGTAGGAGCAAGAGGGACAAAGGGACAAACGAAAGAACAACACAAACAGAACAGCCATGAAAGAGTGCTTGTCTAAAGTTTACAGAAGCAAGTTTTCATGAAAAGCAAAGAGAAGCAATAGAGTATTGATTTATGAAGTTTCCCCAGCTGAGAATGCGTCCTGGCGCCTAGGCCATTTTACCAAGTCATAAAACACCTCTACGTATTACCACCCCCTTTAAGTATAAGAAACGACTGACGCGACGACAGGAGCTGTTCTTTGTGACTGTGAGGCTCTTTCTGACTCCATCGAGTCCGAGGTTGCCGCCGGCTTCTCCAGCCTTGAGCACCTATAGCGACCCAGCACCTCGAGCAAAAAGACAGACAGGTGCTCAAGATTGTTCAAGGCTTTACCACCCCATGTCTTGCGTGTCATGGCATATCATTATGCCACTCACATCCATTCAGCCGCGAACCAATAACTCAGGCTTGCTTTTGTCGTGTCACTGTCACGTCGGAATCAGAACCACAAGCTTCGGAGGTACAAGGTGTTGAAACAGTTGCTCCGTGAAGGCATGAGTACTGGCTTCCAGGCGCCTGTTTATCAGGTCTCATGTCTGGGCAAACCACAGGGTCTCCTCCTTCCGGCTTTTGTTCTGACAGAACAGATGCCACCTAGGAAGTGGTGGAGTGGTGGACGGAGGAGCACTTGGCTCTCGATCTGCCAGAGCTGAAAGCCATGTCGATTGCTATTCATGAGATGCAACAGCATCTTGGCCAACAGATGCCAACAGACACTTCGCGCATGCAACCCTTTCATTACTTATCTACCAAGTGTCTGACACCCCTGATGTTGGATTTGTAGCAGGTGTCGCACCCTCACAAGCCACCATGGAGCCATGATGAACCCCTTCCACTACGGACGAGGTATTTTGCAGAGTGGCAAGATGCCTCGAAAGACCCATTTTGGCAGCGGAAGTCCGGCAAGTCGGTGCTTTCGATCTTGATTTGCCGCAGCTACTTAGTGGATTGCAATTGGACCTTTCGGAGTGGTTTGATGCCACCGCCTATGACATGTTCAGAGTTGAGGAACTGGAAGCAGAGACAACAATCAAATAGTATCAAGAGAGCCTCTTAAGTTTCCCACTCAGGCGAGTCTGGTTATCGCACTTTCCGTGGCATGAATACGGAGGCCAGAAGAGAACTGAGATACGGCAGGAGCGCAGCAGATTGCATTTGATGGGTTGCAATGAAATTAGTTGCGAAGCAGTATCCTCATTTGTGCAAGAGCTCTGGTTTGTGTTGCTTTCAGGACTCAGGATAGATTTTGCAGGTTTTTGAGAGCCAAGACGCCGTCCAAACAGTCTTGGATCATCTTGGATCATGATCGAGCTTGCCACTTCAATTGCTTCACATGAGAGGGCCTGCTCCCGTTCTTCCGAGGTGAGTTTGCCGGCGGGATCCTTTTGTGCTGAGCGCGCAGCAATCACTCGTGCACGTGGCAGCAGTGTTTGATCTGAGCAAACCTAGAGTTCAAATTAACACTTGAACACCAAATGCTTCGACAACAAGGCACAAACTACATATCATTCTCTTCGTCTAGTTCTGTTACACTCAAACGGTTGTTTTCGATGTAGTGGTCATTGGTGGATAGGTTAGAGATTGCAACTTTCCAAGGGTTCCATCTTACTTGGCTTTAAATATGTTTAAAGGGCTGATGAATGAAAGTCCCTTCGGCACTCTTTCGGGTCATGTTCCACGCGCCAGGTGCTGCGAGTGACCTTGTCCATGCCAAGGACATCAGCACGATTGCTACTCTGGACCCGGCAGACACACAGCTGAATCAGCTGAATGAAGACATCTCCAGGTATTTTGCTGATGCAGTATCGCATAGCAAGGTGAGAGAGGGGGAGAGCTAAAGAGCCTGAAATAGTCTCTGATTTGCGTGGTCCCCAGTCCACAGCCCATCAAGAGAGACAGCGTGCACACAAAGGATGGTTCATACTCTGCACAGTTTGATCTCTATTATCAGCGCAGTTCAAAGGCACAAGGTTGAGACACCGAAGCTTTGACAGCTTGCAAGATAAATGCTATTACAGAACAAAGTTTTGCAGCATGAGCCCTGGGCCAGAATGTGTGTGTTGAGTATGACATATTAAGATATATAGTTTGACACAGCCTCGACTTTTGACCTTGGAGGCGCATGAAACTGTCTCCCGAGGATAAGATGAATCCACTTTGGCCATGCGAGGCACTGCTCAACGGGAGCTTCGTACCACTGCCCAAGGTTTGATGCATGTCACCACCTCCAAACAATTTGAGCCGTGACCAAAGCCTTGGCAATACTTACGTATGAGATTATACACACTAGTTAACAAGCAATGCAACGATCCAATATACGTTCTCAGTGCGCAAAGCAAAGCCATTTCGTTTCATCGACTTAATCATGATGTCCAAGGCTTGCTTTTGTACCTCTCCCAAGTGCTGATGATGTGCTTTGCAGTTTCTGTCACACTTTTGGTAGGTTCTGCACTGAAGGGCCGACTCCAGTATTTGCAATGACAGATTCCTTTTCATCACATTTCATCACTTTTTGTGAAACAAACACGACAGAATCGAAGAACCCCAAAACCCCTGCTGAGCGCTTGTATTGTCTTTTTTCAGCAACTGGGAGGTCTGCCAAAGTTGGCTTTCCAAACTGAAGCAGCAGTCTATTGGCTGAAGTTTAGAAGAGGAGCAGGATTGAACGCATTCTTGCTTCCACAGCCTGACTCTGCAATACAGGGCCAGGGAAGTCTTGCACATATCCTGAATATCCTGCCGAGCGGTATAGGACATCAAAGACTGCAGTGATTGTTTCCACTCCTGTGTCCATACTATGCTGCAAAGTCCAATCCACAACATGTTTGCAAGCACGAGCGGATCTACTTCCAAGACAGAAGTCGTGTCTTGCTTTCCACCATCCAAGGATAATTGGACAGATGCAAATGTAATGAGCCAAGGAATGAAGACATCGCAGTGCTTGCATTTGCCTCCACCGATTGCAAGCAGTTCGCAGTGAGCACCTGGGCCTGGAAGAAATGGTCACTCGTATGATCTAACAGCATGAAAACTGGCGGCCGCTCATTCAACGATAGGCTGTCTTCTTCTCCCAAGGGGGGCAAATATATAAATGTGTTCATCCAATTTGTTGCAGTTGCCAAGTCTGTCAGACTCAATCAATTAGAAATATATAGGCAACAGACGAGAGACCAGACACTGTACCACTTGTAGAAGTGGTCGGTTTGTATTTATCATCTTGCCAAGCCGAGGACTCAACGAAAAGCTTGTGGACCCGCCTGCCATGCCACCTTCACCGAATGAGGCCCTCACTGGCTCACCTTTGCCTGACCTTGTGGAGCTGGCTGAAGGCGAGACAATGTCGATGGGGGACACCGCAACACGGAGAAAGGATCTCTTGTCTACGATCTCACAATCTCTATGATGTCCAAACCAACCACACCCTGGTTAAATTTGGACTACACAAGGCCTCGTCAGAAAGGAATTCAGACTTCGTTCGGACTTCTTTTGCGAATGGTGCATAAACAACAAAAAGGGACGACCAAACCATGTCTGATGGGTGTCATCGGCCAGTCTACCCCCAAAGAAAAGACTGATTTCAGATTCATTTGTTTTCCCTTGCATTGGTGCCCGCAAATCTGTGGGATCACTGCTGAACGGACATAGGAGCTAAAATTCTTTCAGCCTCCTGACATGCACTGCTTCAAATTCTAGTGCATGGTATCAGAACAGATAATTGAGTCTTGGGACCGTTCACGTTGACCTTGAGGCACGACAGACTTTCCGTGGGACTGCAAGGAGGTGGTGTACGTAGCTTGGCAGACAAGCTCTTCCATAGGAGACTGGCCCAGACCAGCAGCTAGCAAAATTGAGGCCTGCCGAAGGCACAGCCTTTGCTCGCTACAGGTTGATGGTGCATGGAACTTCTTGCATGGAGGGCACCAACGAATTTTGAAGGCCGGTATTCGGGAGCTACCGGAGGAATAGCTCAGCATGGCATGTGGAAACATGTTGGGTTGACTTCGCTCAGAATCAATAGTGCCCGCCACGCGAAAATCGATTACACACATATTATATATATACATATTCTATAGACATTTTCTTCAGTTCTTTTTTTGTTCGCTGAGATGCGCTGCCAGGAGGCAAAAGCGCGAGGCTCGCACGTTCTTGTGGGTGTGCATTCCGACCAAACTTTGCACCTTGGAGGCAATTGAGCTGCGGTTGTAAACAGTCACTGGAACTGGAACGGTTGCACAATTGGACAAGTCATAGTTTGTAACTGTAATATGTCATTGTAGCCGTTACAAGGGAATGGCTTAAGTTTCCCTAAAGATCTAGGAACAAAATCATTAGTGCGAGCACTTCTTCAAGGAAGCTTCCCCCGCCGCCGTTAGGGCGGCGGGGGGAGCTTCCTGGAAGAAGAGTGAGCTATCCTGCATCCAGTTCCTGGGATGTGTACGCGAGCGTGCAACAAACGGGGATTTGCTTGCAATGACTTGTTCCATCCAATCGGTTGGTTTGACGTTCTGTCACCATTTTGTTTGAATGCATGAGTTCAGCCAAGTGGGGTTGCTCATGGACTTGGGCAACGTTTGATGGCGGTTGTGTGAACCTCCACCACGGTGTTTTGCTTGGCTGTGTCTTTTCTTTCTTTTGACCCCGCCCGCCCTCTCCTTTTTTTGAAGGGGGTGCTTATTCGTTGCGACCTTTTAGGTAAGTTTGGGGTGGTTGGTTTCCTCCCTTTACTACCCTTGCACAGCTGGTTTGCTGTGCTGGTCCGGGTCGCATTTCTCCCCGCTCCAGGGCTGCGAGAGTAAAAATTGGCGTGTCCGGTGTGCAGGGGGCAATGTACTGCTAATGTGAGTCTAATGTGAGTCTTACTTCCGGTTGGAGTTGATGCTTCACCCTTCGTAACAATTGCTAAGCACATCCCAGTAGATTACTTGTAGGTACTAGCTACCTCTAGCTACTACCTATCTCCTACCTCTACTAGCGGCCTACCCTCCGAAAGAAAAAAGAACCTTTGTGTTTTGTTTCGGAGTCAAGGAGTGATGTCTTTGGATCTCAAAGCCATGAAGACTTCGCGACACGACTTGGGCGAATTCTTCAGAATCGCCATGTGCCACTCAGCTACAGTTCTGCACAAACGATTGAGGATCTGCTTGCACAGGGAACGAGGAACATAATATATATATATTTACTGTAACTCAAAGATGTGATACAGGGGATCGCTTGACTTTGTTAATTCGATCTCTTTTGAGACTTCGCCAAGCATTCCATTAGGATCTGAAAGAATCAGCGCTGCTTCGAGGTCGTTTGTCTTGAAAGATGCACCCTGGAAGGTGTCGAAGGACCGCAACATGTACAATATACACGCGGTTTTGACATCCTACCTGCGAAACCATTGGAGGACCCAACACAGATCTGCTTGTGTAAACCACTATGAAACAACTCTGGCGCAAGGAAGAGACGCTATGCTTGGCTGCATAACAATACCAACTGTTCTCGTGATTGAAAGTTTGACGTTCTCTTTCTTGTTTTTCTTTTGGCAAAAACATATATATATATATCCCAAACAAAATGAACCTCCTGCTGTGGCCCTGACCTAGATGGAGTGACCCTTTTTGGTGGGGCAGGACTTGATCGACATCCTTTGCGTGAAGAAGGTGCTCTTTAATTCAAAGAATGTGAAGAAGGATTCCTTGTTCAAACAAGACAGTCACGCCTGGTTGCTAACATGAAGAGTGGAGTCCACGGTGAGACTGTCACAGGTGCCACCTAATATGTAAATGGACACATAGACTGAGGCTGAATGCTGTGCAAGCTCCCTCTCGCGCAGACTGTATCAAAATACACAGCTGTGGGTCGAAACTAGACCCCGAAGCAATGGCAAATCGATATTCTCTCGTGGACAGTTCTGTTCATTTGGCGTGTACATTTGTATACATTTGTAACTGCGGAAGTGCACTGTTTCTCAGCACTAAGGGCCTGCGGTTATCGGTATGTATGAGTGAATGCATTTTCGCACTCCTCCTTTGAGGCTTGAACTAAGTTGGCGTGTTCATGCCTCAACTTTCAAAAGGGTAGATCGTCGCAATCCAGAAACTCATGGTGTCGGTCCATGTTTTCGTAAATCTCATACTTTTTCTCATGATCATCGTTCTGGTTTGCTTTCCACCATTCCTGTTCACACTTCATCAAATGCTGCTTCGCCCTGAGACACGAGCGTGCTGCAGCCTTGTCAAAAACCGTCAACCTACGAAGCTCTACGCCTGAAATCCAACCGCTTGTAGCTTTGCTGATGGTTGGGTCTTCACGACTCTCAGGCATCCGGGCTTCTTCTCTCAGTACTTCTTCTTCTGGTGCTGTGACTTGTGGTGTTGCTGGTGCATCTGTCATCTCGACATCTCCTTCACTCTCGGGTTCACGCGGCTCGATGAACCTCAATGGTATCTCTACCACCTCTCCTGAATCCAGTCGAATCTGGACTGTCTCTTCACCCTCAATGACGTCATCATCATCGTTCTCACTCTCCTCCCGCTGTGGACTGGGGTTGCCCAACGGGATTCGTTGTTCATCCAACTCCTCATCTCGCTCTTGCTTTGCCTTCAGGTACTCCTTGACTTGGGCATCCATTCTCCGAAGATCAAATTCTCGATTGCTGTGCTGTAGGTAGTTCCAGTGCTTCCAATCTCCTTCTTGGAACTCTGTTGCATCTACATATCCTGAAGCTTTCACCAATCCTCTGTGGATTTGCTGTGTATAGGTCTTCAAATCCTTCACTTCCTTGCTGACCTCCTTCACCTTCTCCTCGACCTCATATGTCATCGCCCCCTGGGTCATGACATCAACATGACTATCATCTTTCATCTGCTGGATCACAGTCTCAAGCGCTTTGATGCGCCTCCACATCATCACCATCGTGCCAATCACGATTAAGATCAACACCGCCACAATCATGATGATGAAGAACCACCACCACCAAGTAGCATTCTCCGTGGGCTCAATCTCCAAGGCGTCGTTCCTTACTCCGGCCACTTGCCCAAGGCCCTCAAGTAGCAGGATTCTATTGAGTAGTTTCGCCAGCTTGCCAATTTTGACTTGGCTTACACTCATCTCCTGCAGACGGCCATGCTCCTCCTGGCCCAATCTCTCCCCATCACATCTTCGAGCATTGCACCAATGGAGAATCAAGCTGATGCGATTCTTGGTGAGGGGCTTTGTGCCAAGATCAGCAATGTTGTACACTGTCCCCACTGCTTTTACTTGGAGTTCCTCTTGTGCCACCAAATCCTGTATCCACAGCAGTTTTCCCGAGATATGCCGAAGCTTTCCGGGACCCTTCCTATGGCATAGGTGGAGTGCTGCTGAGTTGTCAACTAGACAATGGTGGATCACTTCCTCCTCGGTAATGAACTCGAGGCATTTCTTCAGGTAGATTCCATCTGCTGCTGCTGAAACCAATGCATTAAGCTCAGCCTCTGCAGAACTCAACGTCACACTTTTCTGCCCTCTTGAGCTTGTGAAAACCACCACTCCGTTGGCCACATGGATTGCTGCAGACGTGGAACGTCTGTGGCTCTTGGACCCTGACCAGTCACTGTCCGAGAACGTCTCCAGCAGCCATCTGCCCTTCGTTGTCCTCGTAGCGAGTCCTGATCCTGGCTCTTCAATCTCCAGCATCGTGTACTGGCCCATGGTATTCTTCAAATAACCAACCAACTTTCCAAGCTTCCTCAAGCTTCCGGTTGTCGGGCATGACATCGACCCTGCAAGCTCCTTGATCACATAGGACACATCTGGTCGCTCTTGTGAAAGGTATATTCCACATCCAACCAAAGATCTATAGAGACTCGCAAGATCTGCCCTCAGCTGTGTTGTGCCATCAGCCTCAAGCATTTCCTGGCTGCATGGTAGGGATTGAACCTTTGCACGTCCCATGGTCTCCTCGTACATCTCCACCATGCTTTCGGCATATTTGCCAGGGTGGACCTTCAGCCCAGTCTCTGTCTCCTCATACGTCCTCCTCAAGAACTGGAAGGAGCTGCCAGGACCAGTTAGATGCTGTTCCGAGATTTCAAACCTTGCTTTGATGCTTGGCAAGAAGTCGTTCACAACGTACTCCTCCTCTCCAAGATATAGGACGTCGTCCACATGGATCAACACTGTCATCTTGTTGGAGAGCTTGCCCAAGCATGGATTCGTTCTCGAAAACTCAAATCCTTTCTCACATAGCCAACCCGTGAAATAATCGAACCAAGCTTTTGCCCCAATCCTCTGTCCTGGAAGGTTTCGGCGGACTTCAAAATGTCCCGTGGCCGTTGTCACTTGAGTTGGTTCATCTTGTGGTACCTGCAGAAAGGCATCCTTCACGTCCAGCGCACCAAGCTGAACCTGTGGGCCACCATCTTCCATCTCCTTCTTCCTCATCAGGTACAGAGTGGGTATCAACCTCAAAGCATGGCTTCCACTGGCTGGGCTGTGTACATCATCTCTTCGATCTGTGGCGTATTCTCTTGCTACCATTCTCGATCTCCTCAAGAACTGCTTTGGTGCTCCCGGCAACTTGGATCTTGGTTTCGCCCTCCAGTCATGAACGAACCTGGTGGTTAGCTTCTTGTAACCGTGCTTCAACTCATCCATTGGGACCAAAACTCCCAACTTCTGTAGTCTCCTTTCCTCCACCTCATTCGCCAGGTCGTCCACCCACTTTGGAGGGTCAGGTGGAACTCTATCCAATGGAGCGTCAGACCAAAGCTCATCTGGAATGTCTTGAAGGGACTCTTCTTCCTCCAACGCCCATTCATTTTCCCATTCCAGAAAGTCCTCCTCAATGACCTTGTCCATGTGGTAGTAAAGCCTTCCTTCAACTTCTGTGGCTTCCACCCGTCTCTCCTCTTGCACCTTCTCCTCTTGCTTCAATCTCTTTGCCTCGGGTGCATCCTGATCCAAACTGTGGATATTCTTCTCGAAGGTTACTTTGAATCTCTTTCCTTCGGGTTCCTCCTCATTTCCTCTCAAAGCACCCTTCTGAGCTTCTGGTCTTGGTGTACTCGGCCACACTGTTGAAGGTCCTGCCTGGTTCCGGCCTTCATCAATTTGGTTTGGGTTTCTCACTGGAATCAACTCCTGGACTTCATCCTCCACGTAGTCCTTCTTCTTCTCCTCGGCCAGCTTCTTCTCTTCTTCTTCTCCCAGGCTGCCAACTTCAACTGGCCTCTCTTCTTCAGCTACCAAATCTTGGGCCTCCTCAAGCTTTCCTGCCAAGGTCTTTGTAAAGGCGAGCACCTCCAAGGCGTCCTCATCGTGACTTGCTATGGCCTTGCTCACTGGCATAGGAACTCCCATCGGCCCTGTCACCATAGCTGCTAGCCTCTTGGAGGGTACAATCCGTCCTCCAAAGTTCTGCTGGAACTCCCAAGAGTAAGCCGTGAAGTTCTGGTAGCAGGCCAAGTACTTCTTGTTGGCATTGGAAACTCTCCTCAATGATCTGCTTAAGAAAACTCTATTGCCATCACCGATCACCCAAGCGTCCTGGATCTCTGTCTTTCCAAGGCAAATCCCAACTTTCCACCTCGGGTCTGCCTTGAATCCCTGCTTGGGCTTTGAGTAAGCAAAGCAGATCTCTCCGTATTCGCACAGCTTTCCCTCATAGGCCCGACCTTGACATAGCTCATAGCTTGTTGAGCCTTGAAAGGGTTGGAACCGATTCAATAACCAAGCTCCATGTCGGCATGCCCATGTCCACAATGGATGCTGGCTGCTGAAGCGAAGGCCTGTGGACTCTGTAAGGCTCTCCATGAGGGTTGCAGCTACATTCCTGATCCGTTGGATGGCATTCTCAACCAAACTGTTCCCAGCTGCATCGTAGATCCGAGTTGTCCTCATGGTCGTTTTCAGCCCAAATGCAGACCTCGATTGAACTAGGAGCTTGAGTGCCTGCCTCAGAGTAGGTTCATTGTCTGAGTAGTACTGTACCTCCTCATGCCCCAAGACCTGCGTGAAGGCGAGTAACTCGTGGGTGATCAATGCCAGTTGCCCCTTTGACTTCAACGGCAAAGCCAACAAGTATCCTGTTTGTGAGCACACAGCTACCAGGAGTAACGCTCCTCCTTCATCTGACACTCCCAGCTGTGCCCTATCTTCCTGCTCTTCTCCTCCCAATGCTCCAGACCCTGAGGCTCTGACATGGCACAGGTCAAATGAGATCGTCGGGCATCCCTGTTCACGAGCTCTGCCTGTCCTCCTGTGCTGGTCCTGCCGTGCTCGATGCTTGAGGCAAGAAGCACACCATGGGGCATATGGGAGGTGAGTCAGCTGGTGTTGCCTTCTCTCCTCCTCTGTAGGCTCCTTTGCCACTGTTTGCTCCACAGGAATGCGCTTCTCGAATGCCTCTGCTTGTGCTGCCAAGTCTTTCGCGAGCAGCAACTCCATCTTGTTCTGGTGCTCGAGCAACCTACCAAAGCACTTCTTCTTTCCTCCACTCTGGCCTATCTTGTAGTAGGAGCAGGCTGCTCTCAAACTCCTCAAGGGACTTTCCAATGTAAGGACCACATCGTTGACTGTAATGTGACTCGGCAAAGCTGGTCCAACCTCAAACCTCACGAGCTGATCATCGAGGTTCCTCCCTTCAGCTTGCTCTCCACTGGGAATCTCCATGTCTTCAACCTCCTCAGATTCTTCGGCCTCTGGGATAGCATGATCCTCGATCTCTTCGCTTCGGGGCTTGTACCACTTGAAGCCCTCACTCAGCTCAAACCCAAAGTTCTCTGGGGTCATGCCCTCCTTGGCAATGAACGTGAGAATTCTGCTCATCTCTTCACTCTTCAACTCTTCAATCGCCTCCTCTTGGTCTTCCAGGCTATCAAGAGGTTCAGCCATTTCGACTAACTCCCATTGTCCTCCTCTGTTCACCAAGGTGGACCGGCAGAACCCTTCATCTTGACTTCGGAAACCTGGAATAAACTGAGGGCTTTGGTATGAGCGTCCCAAATGCAGTCCCAACCAATAGTCACCCTTCTTTCTCCATCCATAGTACTCTTCAGAAGTCCTCTGCAACTCCTCATCGAGCTGGACTGCCAACGTGCGAATCACCTGTGGCTTGGAGATGGTCCTGATACAGGCATCAACCACTAGGCTTTGGTTCTGAAACGTCAACGGCACCTCCAACTCTCCATGTGTCAAACACATCGAATTCGCATCCAAGGACCACCCACTCTTCATGAGTCTTCCGTAGGAGATGATCGGCTGACTCACACAATCACTGAATGTGACCTTCTCCTTCAAGACCACTTGGCGACCTTCTGTAGACCACAAGATGATGTCCACATCTCGACTTCCATAGGTCTTGATCTTGGTCCCCTGGGCGTCCTGCAAATGGGGTGTTCCACCAGACGACTCCTCTCCCATCTCCCTCATGAAGCCAGGGAACAAGGATGCGTCCGCTCCTGAATCCACGATCACTGCCATTGAAGGGCCTTTGATGCCGTCCTCTACCAAACTTTCACTCTCCTCACTATCTTCCCTTCTCTCATGCACCGTGTTCACCACATAGGCCGCTTGCTCATCGTCATTCTCCTCGTCCGTGAAGATGCTGTAGTACTCCACGGCCACTTCCTGCACCACTCGAATTGAACCACCTGTTGAAGCTTCTCGCAAATCAAAAACAGCTGGTTGTGAAACTCTTCGAATTGACTTTGCTGACGTACTCTGGTCTCCTCCGCCACCAGTTCCACTTGTGGTGGTCGATGGTGACGTAGTATGCTGGCTTGACCCTGCAACACTCTGGGTGGCTGGTGCTTCAACTTGCCTCACCCGCCAGCAGTCTTTCGCCTGATGACCAGGCTTTCCGCACGTCCAGCAAACTTCTCCATTGCCCTTTCCTTTGCCCCCTTTGTTGTCCTTGGCTCCTTTGCCTTTACCTTCTTTTGCTCCTCCGCCGAACTTCCCATTCTTGCTCTTGCCTTTGCCCTTTTCATCTTTTCCTTTTCCTTTTGACTTCGAGTCCTTTCCTTTTCCCTTCGGATCTTTTCCGCCCTTTCCCTTCTGCACCCGGTCGATTTCCATGGGCACCGGACCATCAGTCGTCAACGTCATTGGGCTCATTCCTGAGAAGGATAGGGCAGCTGACTCATTCCATCTTGTTGTAGCTGTATCGAAGGCTAGGATGGACTCCCTGATCTTGTTGTAACTGCTGCCCTCATTCAACGTGATGTTCAGGTGGGTCTTCATCTGACCTCCCACTGACCTTAGGAGGATCGCGGATTTCATGTCTCCAGCCAACTTTCCTCCTCCAAGGCGCTCATACTGAACGAAGTGCTCCTCTAACTTCAAAATCTGTGGCAGGAGTGAGTTCTTCATATTGAACTGGGGATAGGCCATTATCCCTTGGAGCAAGTTCATAGTACGATTCCTCGCCTGTGGTTGGCAGTTTCCAAGGAGCTGCCTCAACGCTTCATAGCCATTGAACTTGTCCACGGTCTTCAGAACTCCGACCAGCCTTCCTTGGATCAATCCTCCCAACAGGGAGTACAAGAAGCGGCTTCTTTGCTGGTCCTCATCTGACATCAAGTCCCAGTCATACTCTGAAGTGGGATTGGTCTCCATCTTTTCCAGTTCTTCTTGGTATGCTCCATCAACAACTACCAAATATTGCTTCAAACTCCAAAACCAATCTCTCCACTGTAAAACCTCCTGTTCACGGTCAGCGGGGTTGAACACTTGCGGTCGTGGGATCAACTTGGCCAAATCTTTCTTCAACCCACCAGCATCACCTCCACCTGCAGGAGAGCTCTGACTAGCTGTAGCTTGGGCAGCCTGACTAGCGGCAAGGGTGGCCGCTTGAGCAGCACCGATCAAGGCCTGAGTGAGCTCAGTCATGCCAGCTCCTGCCATGGGGAGTTCGCCTCCCGATCCATCCATACTCTCTCACCCTTCTCTCCTTCAGGGACCTCCTCGGGCTAAAGGAAGTAGGAGCTCTGCCAACTCCTCAAACACCTCTTCAACTTCCAAGATGGGGGCAAGGTCAAGATCGATGGTGGAGTTCACGCTCGGTCTCCAAATCAACACAAGCTTAGATTGCGAGAACTGCCACACTAGCTTATATGGTCGCTCGGCGCGGGCGAAGGTCAACCCTGGGGTCCAAATCCGCGCTGGAGCTCGGTCGAGACTTAAAGAATCGACGTCACGGCTCCGCTACCATGCGGAAGTGCACTGTTTCTCAGCACTAAGGGCCTGCGGTTATCGGTATGTATGAGTGAATGCATTTTCGCAGTAACCATTTTTGGATGTCTTTGTAATTTGCCAACTGCAACACCTATATAAACATGTCAAGAAAGACAACCACGATAACGAAACAAAAGACAACCATTGCATTTATATTTATCTTCCTTTTTTGCCTTGTTGTGGCATTGGTCTCTCGGCTTTTTCTCCGCCGTTTGTTGCTGTGCTGTCCTTCCTTGATGGTGTTTGTCAACATCATTCTTCTTCGTTTTGTTTTGCCATTGATGCCTTGCTCTCACATTCTCCCTGCCCATTTTTATGTGCTGTGCCTATATATACTATTGTGTCTCATTCGCATGGCTTCGCGACGGAGGCTGGCAACTACACCCGTGCAGTCACAGAAAATCATACAGTGCCCCCCAGGCGATCTTGATCGGAACTCCTTTCTCCTCAAGAACAACCTAATTACAGTAACCCCAACTGTGAAAACTGCAAGTAAAAGTGCATCGCTGCTAGTAACAAGTGCTTACTAGTAGTAACAAGTGCCTTACTAGTAGTAACAAGAAGCTACTAGGAACAAGAAACTGCAATGAACCCAATTCCGCCTTTTCAAAGGCCTGGAACTGGGAAGATAGTATACCCAACAAAGAGTTCATTCTTGGAGCTGATTCTGACGGTACACTCAAATTCAGGAACCCGTATTCAATAGTAAACACAAAACAGTTTTGATTGGAAAAGACAAGGACGTGGTAGCACAAGTCCAGTCAAGCGCTTCACAAGGGTAACACTGATGCAAGAAATGCCATACAGTTCGACAACGTGTCTTACATCATCAACAAACATGGCTAAACCAGGTCAAAGCTGAGTCTATTCAATTCTGAATTTTGGGTCCTTCACAGAATGTTGAACAACATAGAATTCTAAAGCAAGACCGGCTCAAGCTAAAGCTAGTAGTTAATAGTACTTGTGAAGCAATGCTGACGTGCAATGTATGCGTCATAAAACGCTTCACCCTCTTTGTACTGGCAGTCCTTTTGCACCTTTTTGCCGGCAATTATTATTTTGCATCGTTTGCAAACAGACACAGTTGCACTGGACGCCTTTGTGATTGGTTGAGCAACAACATACCTGCACGACTCGCTAGCATTGATAAAGAGCTTGGCTTCAAACGGAACACCAGACATGTTCTTTTTGATTGCTTCCTGTTCTTCCACAAGGGCAAGTATGATTAGGGATGTTTCTATCGAAATGCTCAGAGCCAAACTCTCGGCAAAGGTGGTGTCCGGTTCGGTCAGCAAAGCCGCAGATGGTGGCAAGGCCTCGGACAGGAAAACAGCAAAAGGCATCAGTGAGCTGAGATGAACACTCAACTTCGACGGGTGGGCCATGCATTCATTCTGCCAAAACACGAATGTTTTTGAGAAAGAGTCTTGATTCTGAACTTATTGTGTCCCAAGTTCTCCGACTAGGTTGTGGATGAGGAGGACCAGTTGCAGGACATCTACCGGATTCCGATTGATCTCGGGATTTTTGAAATCATTGAGTCCCCAGACTCAATAACAGTCGCTTGGCTTTAGCAAAGCTGGGAGCCAAAGTCTTGGTTCAGGAAGGTGTTGGTTGGAAAACAGCACATATGTTGGTTCGAACATGCTTGAAGTTGCGCTTCGAAGTTGTGCTGTTGATCTGAGGAAGAGAGCCATGCGCGAAGCACTAGCAAATCATTAGAGAGCAGACCTGCCCCTTGCTGAGAGTGTCTTTGTTGTTTGGACATTTCACTATTGTAGCCACCCAATGTGGAAAAGAGGCAGATTTGCGAATCTAGACTTGTACATATGCCAGACCTGCCTGGAGAAGTAAGCGATTGCTGGCAAGTTTGTTGTCAGAACATGACTTCCTGCAGACTCTTAACACTGTAATCGATCGCAAGATACGCCAAGTACAAGCTACAGTGTTGCATTACTTTGAGTTGAACATGGGCTGGCTTCTTGCAAGATCGAAGAACAAATGTGGCTCCAGACCGGAGGTTCTCCGAACGAACATGAGATGAGTAAGCACCAGATGAGTTGTAAACGCGGAGCCTGCTTGTGCTTCTGATAGAGTGTGAATGTTATGATGATGCATTGAGACATGTGCCAACAGAAGCGAATTTCTTACTTTTAGAGTGCCGCTTCAAGATGTGTAGGTTCGACACAGTGAACTTTCATTCTTCAAAGGGCTGTTTTGATCTCCTCAGTCAAGGTGCGGTTTCATGATTTTTGCAAATGTCATTTCATGTTGAGGAATGCTGAACATGTCCCATTCCCAGCAGTAAAAACTGTAAAAGTTGATCTGGGGCTTTTAAGTTTGTAAATCACAGTACATTTGCATGACTGTAAGCAGCTGCATGTTTGCTTGTCAACCTTTTTTTTACTACAAAAATATGTTCTTTATTGTTCTTTTAGGTTTGCCACAATGCTCGTTTAAAGAGCGCGAGCTCTCAAGACTTTGAGCAACCCCTGTAGAAGATGCCCTAGACTAGCCTATAAACATTTAGTGGAACCTCCTGTGACATCATGTGACGTAGACATGACATGAACCTACATCATGTAGCAAGATCATCTGCGTAGTTGTTCTACATCACCGAGCGACATCATAATCATCTTACGTTGCACTCGCAATGCACGTCACCACTTTGGCCACAACCCTCTCAATCCCCCACCCCCTTCATAGAGGCAATGCAAATCTAACACCAATCCGCATCAAATCGCAAGAACCTTGCGGAAGTCCTGAAGTCGCTCACTTTCTCTTCAGGTAGGGGTCTTTGCGAATGAAGATAGCGAGGTAGCCATCCTAGCTATGTCACTCAGCCATGGACATTGCAAAGGCCTTAATTTTTCCCACGCAGCTTTATGCAAGCATGGAAGCGGCGCCTGTGAATTTACACAGAGGTGCATGAAACAGAGTTATCATGTTTCTGCCTCCATCAGCTATATTTGCTTAATTGGACAGTTTCAACCCTACTCAGTATGCTAGGAATCAAGCCTCTTTGTGAAAGAGTAATTGAGCACTCATTCGCGCGGAAGTGAAACTACGGGGAAGGTTACCAAGAGCAGTTCAAGCGACCGTCCCCCGCATAATTACGAATGTAAGAGAAGGTGAGGGAAATACTTATATAGTAACAATCGGTTTGCTGACGCTCTTCTCACCTTCCCCGCGGTCATTCATAAGGTGCTAGCAAACAAGCGCATGCCAAAAGGAACTCAAAAAACAAAAACCCTGAGAAATTAGACTTAAGGGCCTAAGGGCGAATGATCAGATCCTTGTCGATTTGTTGAAGGATTTGGAGGTGTCTTCAATTTGTAACTATGCAATTCAGTAAGCATCAATAAAGCATTTGGCATCGACAACGTGAGAGGGTGAACAGTTCGATTCAATCAACCGTGTCTTCGGGTTATTGAAACTTGTCAGAGACGAAAGGACAAAACTGGACCGGCTCCGCACTCCAATTGAGTCAATCAAGTGAGTGTGTGTGACCAAGAATTTCTGCGGGAGGCAAAGCAGGGCAGGTGCAGGGACGAAGTTACCGTGAAGATATGTTTGTGAAGATTCTGGAAAGCTCAGACCCCTGGAGTCGTTGTATCATTCCTGTTGACAAGTGGCACAGTGGCAACATGGCTTTGACGCCTTTGCACCTGCCTTCCACAGAACGCTTTGCATCGCCTGTAGAGCCGACTCTTTGCATCGGGTTCTTCTGAGTTGGTGTGAATTAAGATTGGAGGTCATTCTGACCTGGAGGTCATTCCTTTATTTTTATATCACTTTACGTCTGAAAGTTGTTGGAGCACTTGCCCAGAAGGTCCCCACACCACAAGATGGGTGTGGTACGCCTTTCTTGTGAAGCCTTTGGCTTGATGCCTCCACATGAAGCTGTCCTTTTCAACTTTTACCTTTTACTGTATAATTTTTTTTAATACTTTAATGCACCCTTTTTTCGGAGCTACTTTTCATGTTTCATTGTGTTTCCTCCAGAATCCAATTGTCGCAACACCTGGGGAACGTCTCATCTTTGGTTTTAGAGATATTGATGAGGACGATTACAGCAATGGGACATGGTGGCAAGACCACTACACCAAACTTAAGCATTATATAGTGCTTCCAAATGCTGCGCTGCCGATCCACCTCTTCCCTCCAGCAGATATTTCGGAGAGCTTCAAAGGCCCGCAGGGTTTGTGGAAAGCATGGTTTGTAGCCTCAGTTTTGCGCATGGGATGCTGGTCATAGACCTCCATCTGAGATCGCGGAAAGGAGCCAAATGTCGGACAGATGTTTTGACATGTACGGAGACATCATTATGAACGTTCATTGTGTTCATCAAGTCTACTGACGAACTCTTTTGATCTATTCCCACCAGTCTGCCGAATGTAGACAGCATGAACCCAGCTGCCTCGAACTAATTGAGCCGAGGTATTGAAGAGTCGCCAAAAGAGGCACGAGGAACTGTGGTCCTTCAGACTCCAGGTTCCCGACCACTCAAACCACTATGAACTCTCTTCCAAAAAGGCGAAGTGTGTGTGCCTGTGTGCCATGGAATTGTCACATCGAACGTTGGTCGTACACGTTATTGGGTTCCACAACGTATACACTGGGGCTTGAAGTATGCCTCCATACTGGACGCATTCTCTTGACTAGTTGAGTGCCTGTTCATGCAGCCAAGTGGCTCCGCCCTCCAAGTAGTGCCCTCTAGACATGGCACTCGGGCGCTGATGTTCTGAGCCTTGCTTTCATGGGCTGGGCGGCTGGGTACATTTGAAGTGAGCTTTTTCATTTGCTTAGCTTTCCAGTGTTTCGTGATCCACTCTGAAGCTTCAGGAACAAGAAGTGGCGTGGCACTTCTTGCCTTATTCTTTGGCAAAACCTCAAATGCCAAGGACACCAACGAAGCAAGCTGGGCGGCAACACGTCCATGCCTTGGGAAGCAGGGTAAGCCACGACATGCGATGTCTTTGGTTTGGCAGCTGAAATACAGAAAATGGACTTGCAGAAGCCAAGTTGATAAACTAGTGGACATGTTCAAATCCAGCTCTGAAGAACATCAAGTCAAAGCCTATAATAGGTACACAGAGGTCGAGATTCAAGGGACATTGGGAGAAGAATAGATGCGGAATGATGCGGACAACTCCTTTAGAGAGCTGCAATCGTCCACAACAGTAGTCAGTATATAGTGCTGTTGAAGATGTATTGAGAATACCACCACCGAAGCTGGTACTCCACAATAGGGCCTTAGCTCCCCATCTGCATCCAGGCCATGAGTATTTATGTAAAAGACAGGGATGCGATTGTTTTTGCATACTGTTTTTTTTTTTTTTTTAAATTGTTAAGGGGGGTTATGCCGCTCGCTAGAGGTGAGGTAGGAAGTAGCTAGTAGTACCAGGATAGCTCGCGCTTCTTCAAGGAAGCTCCCCCGCCGCCCTAAAGGCGGCTGGGGAAGCTTCCTTGAAGAAGTGTTCGCACTAGTGATTTGGTTCCTAGATTTTTAGGGAAACTCATAGTTTTCGATAGTTGTCCTTGATCTAGCGTTGTTTGACTTCTCCAGCAAGGTTTGCTTTGCCAATGAACCAAGCTGGAGCAATGCTCCAGCTGCTGTACCTGGCGATTCCCATGGCCACGTTGGGTCACTGTGGCCTGGATTTGTCGCCAAGCCTTGTTCAGTTGGATTCATTGACCAGAGTCAGAGCAAGTTAGGTATCTCACTGATCAACGAATGGAATGCATGGTGTTTGCAAGTGCTTATTCTCGAGATGGGCTGACTTGATCAGTTCCACGCTTTCGTCCCAGCCTCTACAAGTAAATCTACTGTCAACCTAGCGCTGGCAGGAATCCTGGTGAAGGATTGGCCTCTGCAAAACGAGACAGCGTTGCCTCTAATTTGCGTTAAGTGACGGAAGACGTTTCAGGTAACACACACTTCGACATTGGTTTTCAGTTAACTCAATTGCCAGGTCGAAGGAAGGTGGTAGAACCGAAAGGTGAAAAGTCCGAGGAGTTGAAGATGTTTGAACAAATGTTTCGCTCTCAACTGCGGTGACAGGCGGCAAAACGCGCAGCTGCTGAAAGTGGCTGAAAAAATGGTTTGAGGGGTAGGCAGCATGAAGAACCATGGAACCAAAAAGCCAAATTGGACAGCGTGAGCAACAGTTTCTTTGCAGGTACACGGTCAGACGTCTCTGACCGCATCCACCGAGCAAGCACAGCTTTGTTAGCCAGCGTTTGCTTGTCGGCCGCTGGCCCCCTGCGATTGTCTTCTGGTGGGAGGGACCCTTCGAAACAAGGGTTGACACACACAGAATGCCGCTATCGGCGCAATCCTGCGATCTGTGAAGCGCTGTGGAAGGACCTTTTTCAAAAACCGTCTGCAGGCTGCAGAGTCATGCCCCTTTTGGACATAAAGGCGTGCGGTTGCATGTTGTTGTGGAAAGGTGTAGGTGTCTATGGCATGGAGTCTGGAAGCTAAGCCGGAGAGAGCCAAGCGCTGGCTACCGGCGCTGGTGTGGCCTGATTTTCCAGGGCTGGGTGGGTTGAATGTAGGTGATGGTGCGTTGTGGGAGGTCGATGTTGAAGCCCAAGAGGTGGAAGTCGTCAACTGGTTCCAGTTCGACTGGGTCACCAAAGAAGTTGTGGTGAATCAATGTTTGGATGGCTGGGTGGGACAGGAAGTGTTCGTTGTGGACAATGAAACGGTTGTCCACGTATCGGTAGTAGGTGAAGTGGAGTGCTGTGTGTTGAAGAAGGT